CAGTCCCCCCTCCACCAAAAATTGAACCACTGAAGCCAAAGGCAAAGTCAGTACCAGTTCCAGTTCAACGTACAGAAGTATGGCTCTTGGCTAGTTGCAGTTACATCTATGACCTTAGGCTAGGTTGTAATTTGGTTGTCGTTTTTAATGAGAAATGTGCTGATACATTTTGTTTGAATAAACATTTACTGGTTTCAGGTTATTAGTGGCAATAACATGAAACCTGCCAAAGTTCAAAATGCGGACGATGTGGAAAAGGCTAAGGCTTGTCAGCTTGAATTTGGGAGTTACTGCCTCTGGTCCATAGAGCACAAAGAAGTTATGAAAGACACCATTGTGAAAAGACTAAAAGATCAGCTATTTGTAGCTCGCTCGTACTACCCAAGCATTGCCAAACTAAAAGGAAAGGAGGCACTGACTCGTGGGTTGAAGCAAAATATTCAAGAACATGAGAGGGTTCTCAGTGAGTCCATTGTTGATGCTGATCTACCATCGTTGTAAGTACCTAGCATGCATATTGTGATTGCCCCCTTCAATGCTTTCAGGGTCCATCTTTTGAGTTAAAACTGTGAAAACTAAAACATCCTCTTTTGTGTGGGGGTGGTAACTAGATCATCTATGTACTGCATAGATTCTTCTGCAAGCAAAAGAATTGAAAATCCATGTCTTTTATATCTTAATCCAGCACTCATGTGTCAAAATTTTCTTTTAACATTTCTATGTTTTCTGAGTTGTAAATGTTGAACTTGCACCTTGGTAGCTTGACAGAAATTTCAGTCTGGTTCTCTTAGTAATTAACACTTAAATTGTGCTTTCAGTATCAAAAGCAAGATAGAGAAGATGGACCAAACAATAGGAAGAGCTAAAGCATGCACTGTTGATTGTAGCAACGTCGACAGAAAGCTTCGCCAAATACTTCATATGACAGAGGATGAAGCTCATTTTCATATGAAGCAGAGTGCATATCTGTACAATCTTGGTGTTCACACGATGCCCAAAAGTCATCATTGCCTTAACATGAGGTTGACGGTAGAATATTTTAAGTCCGCTCCATTGGATTCAGATGACTCTGCTGTGCATAAGTTTAATGTTCCAGACCATAGGCACTATGTCATATTATCTAAAAATGTACTTGCAGCTTCTGTTGTCATCAACTCAACTGTTAGTAATTCTGAGGTATGCAACCAAATTTTAACACATTCAAGTTGGTAGAATCTGCTCTACACTTGCCATTTCTGATTTTCTTTTTGTGATTTTGCAGGAGACCGAAAATGTAGTATTTCATATATTAACTGACGCTCAAAATTTCTATGCCATGAAGCACTGGTTTGGAAGGAACTCCTACAGGGAGTCAGCTGTTCATGTCATAAACTATGAGCATATTATTTTGGAGAATTTGCCCGAGTTCAGCTCCCAGCAATTATATTTACCCGAAGAATTTCGTGTTTTCATCAGTAATCTTGAACGACCTAGTGAGAAAACCAGAATGGAATATTTATCAGTGTTCAGTCACTCACATTTCTTCATCCCAGAAATATTAAAAGATTTAAAGAAGGTGATTGTGTTGGATGATGATGTGGTTGTTCAACGTGATCTCTCTTTCTTGTGGAATATTGATATGGGAGATAAGGTCAATGGTGCTGTCAAGTTTTGTGGTCTGAGAATGGGACAACTAAGAAACCTTCTGGGTAAAGCAACATATGATCCGCAGTCGTGTGCTTGGATGTCTGGGGTGAATGTGATTGATTTGGAGAAATGGAGGGAGCATAATGTCACAGAGAATTACCTTCAACTACTGAAAAAGGTCAGTCCTCTGTTTAAAATTCAAAAACATAATAGTGTGCTTAGTAATTCTGTTCCATGGGGCCACAAATTTGCTAATTATATGGGATCATGACTTGCTATGGTCGTTGAAATGAACTGCTCAAACTTTTCTCTGAGAATGTATTGTTAGCTTATTTAGTAATCTTATTTTGTTACAGTTCCAACACAATGATGATGAAGCTTCAGTGCGAGCTGCAGCTTTGCCAATAAGCTTGCTTGCCTTTGAACATCTTATATATCCTCTCGATGAAAGATTGACTATATCTGGGCTTGGATATGACTATGCCATCAAAGAGGAACTTGTCCGGAATTCTGTATCATTGCATTATAACGGTAATATGAAGCCTTGGCTTGAGTTAGGTATACCGGACTACAGGAAGTACTGGAAGAGGTTTCTTACACGAGATGAACGATTCATGGATGAGTGCAATGTAAGTCCATAATGCACTTAAACCTGGGAAACAAAATATCTGACGGTAGATTGCTACGTCTGCTGCTGTATTATATACCTAGAGGGGACGAGCACTTCCATTGAGGAAAAATGGGGCCAGGAAAGCAGTTATTAGCCATCAATTTTGACAGAGTAGATCCAGCACCATCTGTTCATTGAATTAGTGAGCTTGATGGATGGTTTTTCTACAGTTAGAGAAATTAGTCTTAAGCTGAAGGATAATGCAGTAGACAATGATGATGAGTGTTAGTGAGGCTTCAGGTAAAGGGAGCATCACTCTCACCTTCTAGAGTACGGGACAGAACGATCGATCGGTGGTGGGCTGTGGCACCTTTATTCAAATTGGTACCTTGCGCCTCATCGATGCAGGTTAATTCTTTTCTTTGTTGAATTTTTTTGACCCCCTTGTTTTGTCCTGTCAATAAGGGCATACACAGGCTAAATTCAAATTCTTTGTTCTTAGTTGCACATTGATTGTTCATCATTTTTGTGTCGGTGGAAAGTATATTTTGTTGTCAGAAAACCATCAGTTACACAACGAGATTGACAGCTGTTTGGATATCTTTTGAGTGCTCAAGTCCAATTCTCATTCTCCAGTAAATTTTCCAATCTTGTATTCCTTTGTATTGCATTGAAATGGGTGTGTTATCTTGCAACCATCACCGTTTCAAGTTCAGCTCTAGAAGAGAGTCATCCATAAAATCTTATCTCATCCTAATTTCAACAACCAATCTAATTTTCGGCTCACCGAACTCGTTTGATCTACAATATCATAAATGTAGCCGAATAAATACGCCTGATTCAGCCTCTGTAGTCTGCACTGCAGTTACCACTATTGTCAAAAGCAATACCAGTGCTACCGCGGAATCAGGCATATTCGACAGCCCACTCGGACTCGGCCACTGCCTCCGCCCACGCTGGACTTACATGCCAAAACTTTTCACCCCGAAACTAAACAGGGCCTTATGTTCACGACATGCCGCGAGTTCACGGTCATTTTTTTTCCTTTTCTTTGTTTTCTTGAGATGACAGGAGGTCCGGAGCTCACAATCTTCACTGGTTACTTGAGGGGATAAGTGCAACTACTATAAGCTTCTACACACTTGCCTCTAAATGTCATGTAAGCTCATATGATGAGCTGGATGAGAGATATGAAAGAAGAGAGAATGAGCCATCTCTCATGTAAGAGGTAATCTCTATACAAACTATAAGAGAGATGATAACAAAGAGACCAATGAATTGATAGGAAACAGATAAAATAAAATTAATACTCCATCCGTTTCAGAATATAAACATTTTTAGAGTTAGACATTATTATTAAGAAAATAGATACAATTAAATAGGGAAGGGTTGTGATTGGATGAGAAGTGAAGGTATGTAGGAACATTGAATGGTGGGGAGTTGTGATTGGTTGAAAAGAGAATGTTGGTGTAGAAGTTGTTATATTTGGGACAAATTCTAGAGACTAGAAATTGTTATATTTTAGGACGGAGGGAGTATGATGTGGGGCAAGTGTGCTAGAGGTAATTTGTTGTATCTATATTGCCTCTTAATTAATGAGTTGATGATGTGTACTAAATTAAGGGTGACTATCACCTCCACTATAAAACTTGCCCTAAAGAACACCAGGATCAGGGTGCCTCGAACACTAGGAGGGAATGCTATCACTATGCAGCAGCGCGGGACTCCGCGGTAGCGGATGGCCATGGAACCAGCAATAATCGTTGTCAACTGTCAGGTTCTTTTTCACCTACTTCGAGCACCACCGCTGCATCTTCTCATGATGCCACTGTTACCGTTCTAGACCAGTGGTTTAGCCCCTCTGCTACCAACGTTGTTTACGCCGTTCAATTCTTGTTCGCGCGTATTGGCAACATTAGTGCACGCATTTGTTTTGAGTTGTTCCTAGGGTTGGTAAAGCCGGTATGATGTCTAATCCTTCACGGTTTGACAATTTCGGTTATTCGACGTCATCTTCCACGACTGTCTCGATTAAGTTACCGTTTTCGTCTTCAGTGCGTCCCTATGAACCTTAGTCCAGGGTGTCGTTCCATGTGCCCACAACCACTCGTTGGCACCCCTTGTGCCCTGTGACTTGGCTAAATTGTCCATGGTACCCCGATTTCGATTACATCATCTAAAGGCTACTCTAATCACGACCCTTTTTGAAATTAGCTCTGTCGCAGTCCACATTTCAGCTACACCGCTATCATTGTTAAGTCATCCTACTGATGTCTTCTCTAGCCTAAACGTTCGCGATGCTTTCGCTTGAATTGTGAAGGGAAATTTTAAGTATATAGTAGTTGAAAGAAACGCTAGGAAGAGAATTCATTTGTGGATTCCATTACTGCTATATATACCCGCCCCTGATCAATATCCATCATGCTCATGCAACGTACGCACCACCCCCTCCGGCCCTCCCCATCCGAGGGCATCCTCATCAATGGCCGTGCTGACTGCTGTGACTCGAACCACTGGCCGTGGACACATCAACGAGCGCCATGGCGGGTGGGTGCCATTGCACGCTCGTTGGGGCCGTGCCGACAGCCGACACATGCACGGAGATCTCACGCCTTGTTGGAAGCAGCTGAATCATACAGCCGGCTAGGCTATTGCAGTTTTAGTTTGGATTCCTCGAGGAGAAATCACCATAAGACTATTTGACTTGAAAGCTTCAAACAGGTTTAGTTCAACCTTACCACCATTGGTTCATGTACTTCCAAAAAAAAAAAAAAACCATTGGTTCACATTCAAGAGATACCAGTAACTCGGGACATTTCAGTACCTAGCTCAATATCTTCTGAGCTGCAAGGAGGAAGAGGGAGTTCCGTAGCCTTTTACAACTGACTCCCTGAAATAAAAATTGTACCCAGGAAGATGGCTAGATCTCAAATTCTCCTTATTTCATAGTACCGGAGATAAATTTGAGTTATTGCTACTGAATTATAATACAAGCGGACACCAAACAGTTCCCCTTCTCTATTAGGCTTTTTTATGTTCCTTTTAAATAGTTCAGCTCAATAGACTTGGATCAGCACTAGAATTTCAGCCAATATAGATGGAACCATTTTTCTTTTACCAAGTACATGGGCAGAACAGCTATAATCTGAATGCACTCTACATTCAGATGAGTTAACTGTCAAGATTCATGCACTCTACGACGCTTCTCTTGGGGGAGCTCCGATCCATCAGTTGCAATTACTGGGGAATCAGGGGACTCGGTTGCTGCAGTTTTCAGGTTGGCACCTACATTGGTAGAATTTTTAGGGTGGTTGTCTCCTATTCTGTTTGGGTCCAAGGCAGCCTCACTGTCCTTGTCTACAGAATTGCTTGGCTCAGATGGAGTTGCTGTATCTCCAGACGATGGATCCTGCACACTCTGTGTGCTGGATTTACATTGCTTTTCAAACATCTTCTGCAGATATTTCCCTTGTTCTTCAATTCGAAGCTGCAATTTCCTCTGAATCTGCAATAGAGCAATCAAATGTGCTTCAGGTCATGGGAATTTAATTTGAAGTATATGAGCATGTCCTACCCCTATATTATTAAGACCAGTGCAATTGTAGCATGCCACATTCCTGCAGTCACAATTTTGTTCATTGCCACAAACTAGTGTCGAAAGGAACATTTCTGAGTCTCATATTTGTATCCCCAAAAGGGTAGCAATTGTTGCATGCCTCTTTTAGTTTATTAAGGTGCCATTTGCCCATTTGGCATGAGCCTATTTCAACCAAATTTAGAGTCAGTGCACATGCTTTTGAATTAGTACCTCGAGTTGTTCATGAAGGCGCTTCTGAACTTCCATCTGAAGGCGCAGTGCTTCAGTAAGATCCATGCTCCTACATAAGCAAAACAACATAATGCAAGGGTATCTAGTACTGGTGACTGGGAAGAACATGGTGCACTTACTGATCCAACAGAAAAATGAACATGAAATACCACCATTCCCTCAATAATGCATAATGGTAACTCCTAAACATAATTTGAAGTAAAATGGATATATCTTCTATTGTGCTATATGAGCAAACTGTAGATTTGAACCATACTAGTAGGCGAATCCCTACTCTTATTTTGAAACCATGCTAGCAAGTGAATCACAAATATATATGTGCGACCAACTTTTTCTCAAGGCAATTATTTACTTTAGTCGGTAATGCAATCTGCCATCCAGTCATGCCTACGCTCTTGATCTGAACTTTGATGCATGTTGATTTGTAAACCACACAGTACCCTACTTATTAGTTAGCGCCATGTGAAGTGTACCAAAAGTACAATGAAACAGGAGAAGAGACGATGGAATAATAATATCCACTCACGCTTTCAGGTCCAAAGACAACTCATCGGTAGTTTTCCCTTCTTGTGTTTTACCTGCATGATGAGTTAAGAAAAGGTCAGAGTTGTCTTAACAACTCACATAAACTAGAATATGGTTGCATGCGTGCTATTTTGCAACAAGGGATCTTACACTAAGTATTTAATATTTCATCATGAAAATATGCTTTTACAAATAAATTCACAGCCCTTGCCATTATCATGAAAATTGTACTTAAGTTATTGCCATGAAGTTCTAAAAAAAAAGTTATTGCCATGAAAAATGAGTTCCCGTATGTAAGAATATGTATAAATAAAATGCAAGTCAGAGAGGAACCCAATTGATATAAACCTTCTGATAGGTCTGGCTTGTAGCGAGCTGTGCGGTACTTCTGCAGTAAAAATAAGTGCAGATAAAGAAAGTCAAAACTGAAGTCTCCTTTCAGCAAATATGACATTTAGAAAGATTAAAAAAAGAACCTGCAGATGACTCTTAACATGATAGATTGTCAAACCATCAACTTTCATAAGCTTGAGCACACCTTTTGGAGTAGCTTCTGAAGGTTTTTTTTTTTTAAAAAAAAAAAACTATTAGACTATGCCAGAATAGGATTCGTATATATAAGAGAAAACCACTTGAGTGGTATTTACGACACGGAGGACATACTTTCACTACCACCAAGCTTATTTACAGCATGGACAAAAGATTCATGCAATTCCGGGGTCCATCTCATCCGTTGTTTACTTGCAGAGGCATTGCTGTTGTTGGGAGGAGGACTTGTGACAGGACAAATATCGCCACTATGGGATGAAGTTGACTGATTGAAAGCAGGCTGTGATGCAGCAGAATTGGAAGGTTGGGCCATGGACTGTAACAAAAGAGATCCATAAATATTTAGCATTCTGACCAGGGTAGAAACATAAGGAGCGCTATCTATAGCATCAGGGACAAAAAAAATGCGTTAAAGGTAAGATGCAGTATACATTGCTTAGAATTTCCAGGAGCAGCCTATGTCAAGAACATGAACAATTCGTTACAGGATTTTTAACACATTGAATCAAATATTTAATCTACCAACAGCCACAATCTCTTCAAGCCAAGGAACAAGTAATCATTGCTCTTGTACAGGTAATCACTTTAACAAATGACATCTCACACAAGTTTCGAGCATTCAATAAATGAATAGATAAACTAACAAAATGCCCTTGTGTAATAAGGGAAAAAAATACCGCCATGGTTACAGAAGTATGTTGCTGGAAAGGCAAAATTTCTCTAAAATTAATCACGATCATATAAATTAGTAACCGGGTTAGAGTGTAGGCAGATGGTACCACTATTACCAGTAGGATGATGTCAAAATACTCTCAATAGATTATAGTGTTAGAAACTTTCGTCAACATGTTAAAATAAATAGGTGTATTTCTAAACTTCCAGAACACAAGAAAGGGATACAACTTTACTCTTTATGGTATTGCAGTTACATACCTTTGACTGAGAATCAGTAGCTGTTGCATCTAGAATATCTTTCCAGTCATCATTCATTATATCTGCCCACCATTCATTTTGTTTAGCAGCATCAGATGTAACAGTAGAGGAGCCGCTCTGGGTGTGATTATCAGGGACAGTTATAGTATCCATGTAATCTGGCGCGCCACAGGCAGGAGCTGGGAAAAAGGTTGGCACAGTGTGTCCCCCATGGGTATTATTATTACATAAATACTGGAGCATTTCAGCATTCGACGACTGAGAAATAAAGGGAGCAGCCATAAAATGCCCCTCATGGCTAGACACAGAATCAATTGGGTTAGCAGCATATCCTAACATTGCTGAATATGATGATCTGACAACACTGGCTCTTGGGTGCGAAATAGAAGATTGAGTTGCACTCTGGTGCAAAGGCATAGAATCATTTGGCAGTTGCCCTGGCATCAGAATATTCTGGGTATTATGGGATCTTGGGATATCTTTCAAAGATTTCGGTAGAATAGGCAAGGAGGATGACATCTCTCCAGAAATACTTGTTTTGCAACTGCCTCAGATCAAACTTCCCTCACTGCAATTCTGCAAATAGTGCATAAGATTTGCTTCTTTCCCATAAAATAGTTTGAATGCCTTTCTACAGATCAAACTCGCCCAAAATGTTAGTCCATCACTCTGTACATGATTAAGAAATGAAGAGTTAAAGGGGTGAGCTTATTTTGAGGTCATGGAAATAATAGTATAATTGTAAGGAACATATATAGACTGTAAATAATATTTCACACATTTAAGCATGCTGGAACTAATCATGAATAAGCAGCAGTGTTGCTAGTGTCAAGCAGATGACACAAGCAGAAAACAAAAACGGCTAAGCCATGAAATGTACATCTAGGTGTAAACCTTTTGTACACTGATGCACAACAACAAATTTTACACCCCCAATATTTTGACCACTCCAATGGTAGATTACATTGCATAAACCTCATTTATTAGCATTACAAACCGGATACTTTCGGAAAAGTTAAAATGTAATACCTGCGATGCAGGTTCGACTTCTAGCTACATTGCAAAAATGCCGCAAATTCCAGTTCCAAGGTATTATTCAGTTAACATTTTTCTTGAAGCTATAAAGTGATATTTTTCCTGCATAGCAAACCCACATGCAGAACTCTGTGGAACAGGGCGCCATAATGATGGCCTGAATAGTGGTGGCACAACTGGCCCCAACCATCTTTTCCTACTATCAAGCAAATAACTCTTTACCTAAGACTTTTTTGCCACACACACACATGAAATGTGTACTTCTCTATCACGCCTGCACCGATTAACTCACAGTACGGCAACCAATGGTTAAGCACTAGAATATCCTGTTTCTAGGGCGGAAGCAAACCATCACAGCACTACACCACTCCACAGTACTACCTAATAATTCTGCCGTGAAGCTCCCCCGGTTCGTACCCTCACAGAATCAACCCCCCATAATTCCCTGTACCAACACCATCATGTCCGCTCACGAGCATGCGGTACAGCAGCTCCCCCCCACCAAACTCCCACGCCCTACATGTCGCGATCAAAACCCTAAACCAAAAACCCCCTACCCCCAGCTTCTCCCCGGCGGGCACGCGCTCGTCCGCTCCTGTTCCATAGGCTCCAACCGGGGCCGATCGATGGAGACGGCGTGGACTGAGACTAGATTGGATGGGAGGAGAGGAGGCGTACCTGGGGCTGCGGCGGCGCGATCGGCGCGGCGGGGAGCGGCTTGGCTTTTCGGAGGCGACGAGGGAAGTGGGGAGGAGGGGGGGGGGGGAATCTGATTGGGGCGATCGCTTTTTTTTTTCCCCTCGGTGTCGCGACGATGAGGTGAGGGTGAGGAGGGAGAGAGAGAGAGGATGCGGGAATGGAGGAGAGATTGATCGAGATTTCGTTTCGTTGAGGGGAGGGGAGGGATGGGGAGGGGGGGAGAGAGAACCTGGTGCGCGGCCCGGTGAGGCGCACGCGCGCCGCGGACTCCACCATGGGAGGCTTTTCTTGTTCGGCCGTGTGTGCGGCCAACTTGGACGGCTGGGATGGTGGTCCATGGGGACTGGGGAGGGGAGAGAGTGGCAACGTGTGCGCCAGAACTTTGAAGAAAGAAAAGCGGAATAATGATGCAAATTGCGACCAACGGATTAAAAACATGGCTGAAGAAACTTAAACACCCCCTACTTATTATTAGGTTAAGAACACTTTAACAACTACCCAATATAAATATATTTTAGAGTAAATTATATTGTTAGTACACAAACTTGTTAGGTGGGTGTAATTTAGTATATAAACTTGTAAAATACTCGTTCCAGTACACGAACTTATCTAGCTAGTTCGTGCGAACGAGGACCAAAATAACTTGGCAATATTAATTTTACGAAGTTGATATTGATTAGGATGTGACGTGCATACGTGTAGTGAGTATGCATAAGACATGTAATATTTATAAATTTAGTCTCTATTTCATCCTTCATCATTGAAATGATGAATTTCATATGTTTTTAACCCTTATATCAGTGCTCGTTTTTTAATATTTTTCTACTATCACTAAATCCTATTCTATATTTTATTGAATATGATGTCTAATGGTAACTTTCTCTCATGTATGTGTTTACATAGTATCCTAATCAGCCCCTAAATCAATAAGATTAGTCATATAGTGTCCTTTTTAACTTCCACCGCACGCACCATACAAGTTTGTGCACTAAAACAAGCATTTTATAAGTTTGTCCACTAGATTGCACCCACCTGATAAGTTCGTGTACCGACAATGCAAAGAGTAAATTGCATCGGCGGTACACGAACTTGTTAGGTGGGTGCAATCTAGTACATGAACTTGTAAAATGCGGTACACGAACTTATCTTGCGCGTGCGAACTAAGGTCAAAAGGATATTACATGACTAATTTTGTTGATTTAGGTGCTGATCAGGATACTACGTAAACATATAGATAAGAAGGTTGCTACTTAGACATACACCTGTTCAATAAAAAGATAGAATGAGATATAGTGATTATAGAGAAAGAGATAAAATACCGAGCAATGATACATTGGTTAGAAACATACGGAATTTAAGATAAAGTAGAGAACATATTTATAAATATAGCATGTTTTATGCATACTCACTATACGTATGCACGCCACATCTTAATCAACATTAGCTAGGTAAAATTAACCTTGCCAAGCCATTTTGGACCTAGTTCGCACGGATTAGATAAGTTCATGTACCGAAACAAACATTTTACAAGTTCATGTACTAAATTGCACACATCTAACAAGTTTGTGTACCACCAATGCAATTTACTCCATTTTATACATATTGAATGGGTCACCAACTACTCCTAGCTATCAGTACAAGTAGAATGGTTTGCTAATTTCTAGAGAGATGGATGTGCAAGGTGCCACTGTTGGAAAACAGAGTAAGATATATGAATGCTCAATTACCAATCCTATAAGTGAACTACAATCTATTATACTATAATCTTGCGTAATTCGAGACATAGTTTTAGGTTCTTGCAAATATGCTATATGTTGCAGATTAGCCTTTACTTTCCACCGGCTTTTTTTGACATCTTTTGGGGAAATGTATCAAGCGAAAGTATCCAATTGTTGTAGTCATCAAAGAGGTACTCTTTCCTCTTTGATGCATTGATAATGTACATTTGCTTTTCCCAATTCGTCATTTTAACATTGTACACCAATAGGTAGGAAGAAGGATCTATGATCCAAAATTTTGAAAGCTAATGGTACGAACGACAGTCACTATACCATTGTAACATCGTGTGTGTTCTCTTTAATAAAATTGATTCATTTTTAATGGAAAGGATGAATGTGTTTGCACATGGAGGATACAAATGATAGTAATTGCTGCGTGATTTACCACATGATCAGGAGAAACCATAATTCAGGTCATGTTGACCAGGGAAATCAATTCCCGTTCGGAAATGAAAATTTAATAAAATCAGGGTGAATTTGTTCAAAGGTTTGAACATGATTCCGAATTTAGGGTAAATTACTATCTGAATGAAATTTGACCCTAAGCCTCTCCTGATCAGCCATGGTGTTGGACGGTTATGTGTCCATCGGAGTGGTGGGAGTGACGAGGAGGCTGGAGATGCCTGGAATGATGGAACGAACCCTTAAAGCCTAGTATTTTTCTGATTCTGACATCTTTTTTGTTGGGAAATTTTGATAAAAGCACTATGACTTTGTGGTTTTAGCTGTAGGGCACCGCACTAGTGACTTTTGGAGGGAAAACACCCCCAAAAGTTAGATGTTTACTGATGAACACCGCACGTATTAAAGTAATAATTTTCAGTTAAAAATGAGAGAGAAATCGTGTGAAATGTCAGAAATGCCCTTGGGCACACATGTCAGCTCTCCTATCTCTCTCTATCCCCTCCTTCACTTCTTTCTCTATCCCACATGTCAGCGATGTCGGCGCGCAGGTGAGGTCCGGCGGCAGCGGTGACGGGAGGGCGATGGCTCCGGCCGCTGACAACGCCCCTCCCTCCTCACTCCGCGTGGGCGACGGCTCCGGCCAATGGCGCGCCCGGACAGCGATGCCGATCGCCGACGGTGCCCCTCCCTCTTCACTCTGCGCGCTGCAGCCGTCGTCGTCGTCCAGCCGCGCCGCCTCTCCTCCACACGTTGTTGCCACCGCCGAACCTCGCCTGCTGTCTGGCCAACACCACTTGCCGGCGCCGGCGCTCCTCCGCACGCCGCTGGTCGCGTCCGCTCTGCCCTCACCCTCGCCCTCGCCTGTCCACCGTTGTTGCTAACATGTGGGATAGAGAGAGAAGAGATTAGAGGGAGAAGTGTAGGAGAGGATAGAGAGAGAAGAGAGATAGGAGAGTGGGCCCAAGGACATTTCTAACATTTCACACGATTTCTCCTCCTTTTCAACTGGAAATTATTACTTTAATGCGTGCGGTGTCTATCAACAAATATTCAACTTTTGATAGTGTTTTCCTCCAAAAGTCACTTCGTGCGATGTTCTATAGTTAAAACCGCGAAATCACGGTGTGCTGTAGCAAAATTTGCTCTTTTTTTTTTCTGATGACCTACTCTCATGTCATCTCTCTCTGTGAAAAAACTAGAATTGATTGCCCTTTTGATCTTTCGCCACTTTGGTAGCATCCAATATCCATTGATACAGCTAATCTAATACAAGTAAGTAGTAACAGCCAGCAGGGACCAGAGGAGAATATGTTCTTTCGTGGTGCTTCTAACAATATATTAGAAAAATCACCATACAAAATCACTCTTAAAGAGTGTAAATGTACCAATCACATAACATAAAATTTCTTCGCATCTCTACATATTCGATAATCCACTTGCTGAAGAGGAAGAAAAAGATCGACCAAAACAGAATCCCAATCCGGTTATCTTCTACTTCGGTTCGATCTTGGATTGGAAGGAATACCCTCCGCTGTAGTCGAACGAGTCGGTGCTCATGTCCTTGTCCTTCTTCGGGAGAGGATCGTTGTAAGGATGGCGTGGGGCACCCTTGGTGACGTCGAACTCCGTCGCGGACGTCGACGCCGACGTGGAGGCGCTGCTCAGCCCCTCGCTCTGCAGCATCATCTCGATCTCCTTGACGACGTCGCTCATCGACGGCCGCGCGCCGGCCACCTCCTCGACGCACCGGAGCGCCAGCTGGACGAACTTGCTGAATGCGGCCAGGTGGTTGGTGTTCATGATCCTGGCGTCTATCATGTCCTTGATCCCGCAGAACTCGGCGTCGCCGGCGTCGAACGCCCGCTTCACCTCCCGGACGATGTACTTCCCTTTCTCGATCGGCTGCTTGGCGATGATCAGCTCGAGCATCACCACCCCGAAGCTGTACACGTCGCTCTTCTCGGTCAGCTGCTGGGACATGTAGTACTCGGGATCCAGGTAGCCCTGCAAGTATGGAAGAAGGAGAACAACAAATCAGACGAGCCGACGGCGAAGGGTGCAGCATATCGGTCGGCGTGGTGCGCGCGTTTACCAGTGTTCCTTTGACTTGGGTGCTGACGTGGCCCCTCTCGGTGTCGGACACTAGCTTGGAGAGGCCGAAGTCGGCGACCTTGGCCGTGAGGTGCTCGTCCATGAGGATGTTGCTGGACTTGACGTCCCTGTGGATGATGGGCGGGTCGGCGAGCTCGTGGAGGTAGGCCAGCCCACGCGCCGCGCCGAGCGCTACCCGCAGCCGCTTCTTCCAGTCAAGGTGCAGCCCGCTCTTCCCTGCAAAGAAAAAAATCCAACAAGTTCAGGGCGCGTGCCGTGCAAGAACGCGCGGCGCGTCAGGAACGCACGGACAAATGTGGTTTGTGGTTTTACCGGAGAGGCTGTCGCGGAGGGTGCCGGCGGACATGAACTCGTAGACGAGCATCTGCTCGCCCTGCTCGAAGCAGAATCCGACGAGGCCGACGAGGTTCTTGTGGTGGACGCGGGAGAGCAGCTCGATCTCCGTCTTGAACTCGTGCCCGCCCTGCATCGACCCCTGCTGCGCCCTCTTGATGGCGATGAACGTCCCCGTCGGCAGCATCCCCCTGTACACCTTGCCGTACCCTCCGTACCCGAGCTCGTTCGCCTCCGCGAAGTTGTTGGTGCTCCGCTTCAGCTCCTCGTACGAGAACCACCTCGCCCCCTTCAGCCGCGGCGCCCCGCCCCTCTCCTCGCTCCGTTTCCACGACGCGAACGGCCCGCCCAGCTCCTCCCTCGCCTTCTGCGCGCGCCGCCGCTGCACGAGCGCGTACACCGCCGCGCCCACGAGCGCCACCACCAGCACGCCGCATCCGGCCGCGATCCCGATGATGGCACCCTTGCTCCTCGACGACGACCGCTCCTCTGCACACCAACAGGTCAGTTTGAATGGTAACGAGCTGAACAATGTCTGAATCAAATTGATCCATGGGAGTCATGGACTGACCTGGGAAGGGGTAGGGCGAGGCGATGAAGTAGTAAGGGCCAAACTCCTTGGGC